TTATGAAGACCACCACCTATGAGTAATCCAGCCCTACCTGGCCACACTGTGGGTCCTGGACCAATGGTTCTCCACTGGGGACCATTCTGTGCACCCTACCCCCACCCCAAGAGCATCTGGTAAAGTATGGAAACATTTCTGGTTGTCCCAAGTCAGGGACTGCTCTTGGTATCCTGTGAGAAGAGGCCAGGATGTGGCTAAATCTCCCACAAGACACATCGAGGCCCCACAACAAAGAATTATCCAGTCCCCAATGTCTGCAGTGCCGCTGCTGTGAAAACCCGGCTTAGTGAGCTCAGATTCAGATTAACCTTCAACACATAAAAGGCTTATTCTTCCAGCTAGGTGGGCCAGAGGCTTCGTGGGTTGTTACTGGGTGAGGAGAAGAAAATGGTTAGTGTGCAAAGAAATTCCACCCTACTGCTGCCAAGACGGCGTCGTTCCGTGACTAAGATCCCAACATCGTCAGTAAAGGTCAACCTTCCAGGAAGTTCTGAGACGTGCAGCTTTTCGTGTTGGTTTCTTGGGCTGATTCCGTGACTAATCACCCTGCCTCACACCCAGAGAGAAACGCAGCCACACAGACAGACAGCTTTCTTCTGTGCTGTCTGTCCTACCCCCTCAGTCTCTGCAGAAAAAGATGGCTTAACTCTACAGTTCAGACAAACCACCTTGCTAGTGTCTAAGCTTGTGGTCTAAGGAAAGACCACCCATTCTTCCTTCTATCCATCCATTCTACTATCCCTCTATCCAGCCAACAAACACTAAATGCCCACCATCTGTCCATCAGCGTTATAGATGCTGGGAAACAATGGTGAAGAAGCCAGACAACCGCCCTACCCTCATGGAACATACAAGAAAGGCCTTGAATAACTGGCCCAACTATGACACTGACCTTCTCCTTATTAGATCCTTGACTGTGTTCTTAGGACCAGACAGTTTTGTTTTGCTTTGAAGTAGCACTGAGCTCTCGCCTCTTTGTATTTGCAATTGAGGTTCAGAGAAGTCAGGTGACTTGGCATCACAAGAGTCTTGGAGACAGGATGAGAGTCCGGGTTTCCCGGTTCCCAGGAGCTTCCCATTTCCCCGCGACCACCACGGCCCTGCGGCACTCAGGGCCTGCGTCCTGTGTGCCCCCCTGTTCTCAGCACTTGACCTGGGTTATTTCACTCAATCCTCACCACCGCCCCATGAGGGAAAAAGCACTGCGGTTCCCATCCGATGCCCAAGGAAACTGAGGCAGAGACGCTCAGCAACTTGCCAATGAATTTTAACACCAGGCAGGCAGACCCCCCAGCGCTCCCAGGTCTTGGTCTTTCAGTTCAGTTCAGTTGCTCAGTCGTGTCCGGCTCTTTGCAACGCCATGGACCGCAGCACGCCATGCTTCCCTGTCCATCACCAACTCCTGGAGCTTGCTCAAACTGATGTCCATGGAGTCGGTGATGCCATCCAGCCACCTCATCCTCTGTCGTCTTGGTCCTTGGTTCTTCATTAATAAGGACAGAGCTGGACATGACAACAGTAGCCACCACCACCCTGGGCATCATTTTCTCAGCCACAGGCTTCCGCTTTACCCTGACGGCACTTTGCCGACAATGTGCCGTTTTGTTTGTTGGTTTTCTGTTTGTTTTTTACAAATTGAAAGTCTATGGCAACCCTGCATCCAGCGTCTATCAGTGCCATTTTTTTCCAACAGCATTTTAAAATTAAAGTTTGTCCATTGGATTTTTTCAGTTCAGTTCAGTCACTCAGTCATGTCCGACTCTTTGTGACCCCATTTTAGACATGGTGTTATTATACACTTAATAGGCTACAGTATAGTGTAAATATAACTTTTAGATGCACCAAGAAACCACAAGTAGTCATGTGACTTGCTTCATTGTGGTGGGCTGGAGCTGAACCTGCCATCTCTCCGAGGCCCACCTGTGTCCGATGAGGGCCGTCTGGATGGTTTGAGGGGCTACCTACCTCTGCCTCCTGGGGAACTTTTGAGCTCTTCCACCTGCTCCCACTGGGGGACCTGGTGTGTCACTGACCCTGCTCCTATTTGTAGATGCCAGCTTCTGGAGGGGCTTTGAGACAAACCAAAGGCACCCCTCAGATGCTGTCAGAGACTGGTATGCTTCAGACGTGCTTGCTCAGTTGCTGAGTCTTCTCTGACTCTTTGTGACCCCACGGAGCTCTCTGTCCACGGAATTTTCCAGGCAAGAAGACTGGAGTGGGTTGCCATTTCCTCCCCCAGGGGAACTTCCCGACTCAGGGATTGAATCTGCATCTCCTGAGTCTCCTGTCTTGGCAAGCAGGTTCTCTACCGCTGCGCCACCTGGGAAGCCGGCATAGACATGAGGGATTATTATATTCCCGTGGGGATGCCTCTGCATGCCTCCAACTCCCAGGGATAAAATCTGAGAAGGTTTTTGTTAACAGCACTTATTTTAGAATCTCAGCTCTGCCACTTAACAGCTTAGGCCAGTTACTTTACCTCTCTGAGCCTCAGTTCGCTCATCCGTGAAGTGGGAATGTCTACATGAAAGGATGGTGATGTGGATGTTGTGAAACAATGTTTGACAAGGGCCAGGTACAGTCACCAGCATGAACAGGTGCTTAGCAAGTGGTGGTTACACTCAAGAGAAATTTAAAAGGCAATACCAGTCTGAAACTCCAATACTTTGGCCACCTGATGGAAAGAACTGACTCATTTGAAAAGACCCTGATGCTGAGAAAGATTGAGGGCTGGAGGAGAAGGGGATGACAGAGGATGAGATGGTGGGATGGCATCACCGACTCGATGGACATCAGTCTGAGTAAACTGTGGGAGTTGGTGATGGACAGGGAGGCCTGGTGTGCTGCAGTCGATGGAGTCACAGAGAGTTGGACACAACTGAGTGACTGAACTGAACTGAACTGAATGCCAGTTTAGAGGCTGCCTACGAGAACGCCCTGGGAGGGCATGAAGTACCAGACGACGACAGTACAGACAGGCCACTTCAAACCCATACTAACTATTCTGTGAGAGCCTGGCCAAGGTCACTCACAGCAAAGGGCGGTGAGATAAGGTGTCCTGGGTGCTCACGGGTGCTCAGAAGGGCTGTATTTGGCAGGTGCGGGCAGGTGGCGGGCTAGGATCCACGTGGCTCTGGGAGACGGAAGGGAGAGCCGGCACACACAGGAGCTGCTTCCCCCCCGTGATAAGGCCGTGGGACAGAGAGCTGGCCCGGGTTCCTGCCAGAGACCTGGTTCCTGCTGGAAGGCCAGTTGCCACTGTGTGCTTCTGGGAAAGTCCCTCCCCCTCTCGGGGGCTCAGTTGCTGGAAATATGAGTCTCATCCGAGAGGACCCTGACCCGCAAGATGGGAACAAAGGCCCCCAGCACCCCTCAGGGGGCAGGGAGGACTCCAAGTCTGCATGGGCCCCGGCAGCCACCTGGGCTCACAGCAAGGGCTCGGGACCTGGCGCTCTGCCGTTATCATGACGACCACGTGAGCGTGTGTGTGTGTGTGTGTGTGTGCTGACAGGCTACCCTGCTCTCCAGAAACCTGTGCCCCAGACCTCCGGGCAAACCACCCCTCATGCCAAGGGCGTCCAGGACGATTGAATATTATTAGTCTTCCCTCAGTGCAGTTTGCAAAAATAAAAGGGATTCCGCTGAGGATTCTCAGACCAACTCCACCACGTCCTCAGACCACAGCTCAGCCACAAGGCCTCGTCAGCTAAACAGAAGCGTTTCTTCAGGGACTGCCCGGGTGGTCCAGTGGGTAAGAACCTGTGCTCCCAATGCAGGGGGCCTGCGTTCTATCCCTGGTTGCAGAACCAGATCCTGCATGCTGCAGCGAAGACGCCCCGGTGCAGCGAAGATCCTGGGAGCCCCAGGTGAGACCCAGTGCCAGGCTGTGCTGCGCTCAGCCGTGTCTGACTGCGACCGCCAGGCGCCTCTGCTCCTGGGGGTTCTCCAGGCAAGAATACTGCGGTGAGTTGCCCTACCCTCCTCGAGGGGATCTTCCCAACCCAAGGACTGAACCCAGGTCTCCCAGTGCAGCCAAAATAAATAAATAATCTTTTTTTACAAGAAGACGTGTTACTGCAGGCTGTGCCCTGCTGAAAGTAGGGGCTGGGCCAGATCACCCTTGGGTGATCCCCATTCAGCGCTGAGATACGGAGTTAAAACTTCTGCGTGGCTGGAAAATGGCTGGGCTTTGAGCTTTAGAGCTGCGCTTCTCAGACTGTAAACGCCACGGGAACCGCCCAGGACCCTGTGGAGGACGTGCAGAGCTTGCGTGGCTCCAGGCCCCGTGGCCCTCCTCTGAGTGCTCTCTCCTGCCCACGCTCCTGCGTGCGCTACACCTACTAGTGAAATTCTGTTCTCCTTCCTCCACTTCTTACCCCTGCAATCCCCCACGAGCCAGAGTTTCGGTGGGGACTCGGGGAAACTTCTCCTATTTTTAAAAAGTGTTTATTTGGCTGAGTTGGTCTTAGTTGTGGCATGTGGGGTCTTCCGTTGAGGTGTGCATGCTCTCTAGTTATGGCGAGTGGGCTTAGCTGCCCCATGGCATGTGGGATCTTAGTCCCCTGACCAGGGATTGAAGACACGTCCCCTCCATTACAAGGCCAATTCTTAACCGCTGGACCACCAGGAAAGTCCCTGGAACGTCCCTTTATTACACGGTGCGGAGGCTGTTGGAATGTCATTTTCAATTCTGTGTTCCTTCTCCCTGATGTCAGCAGAATAGATATCGGAGGGCAAGAGCCAGGCTCCAGAGCTACTGAGAAGGTGAGACCGGAGGGTGTGGTGAGGAATCGGTAAAACCGCAAGAAGCATCACACCGCTCGTGCTTGGCGTGAAAGGACAGCTCCCCAGCCCCCCGCGCTATTGGCTTCCTTCTCCTTTCGTGCACTGAAAAGGCCACAGCATGGGGCCATGGGGGCAACACCCAGCCTTGGCTTCCCTGGCTGAGGTGCAGACACGCGCCCACGATTGACGGAACTTAGAAACTACCAACTCACCATCCTTGAGTGAGAAGCTCAGAAGGTCCTGAGGGAAAAGTAACAGGAATTAGCAATAGGTTGACATGTAACCAGCCTGCTCATTGGACATATATTTACTGACTCTTAACAATCGGTGGGAAAACAAGGCAGACAAAATACCTTTGCCCCACATTTGAGTGGCAAGCCAGACAAACAAGCAAGCACATAACCACATACGTGTGTAAGAATTTCAGGCAGTCAGATGAGGGCGGGAAGGGCTGCTTTAAATCTGCTCTGTTGGCAGCGAGAGCCTGCGTGAAGCATCTGCCTGCTTCAAATGCACACAGAGCAGGTGAGTGACATGCCCGAGGACACACAGCAGAGCTGATGCTTCCGAAAAGAGGCACCGCAGCTTAATGGTCAGGAGCAGGGGCTTTGGAGTCAGATGGCCAAGGTTCAAATCAGCTGTGTGACCTTGAACAAGTTACTAAACCTCTCTGTGCCTCAATTTCCTCGTCTATAAAATAGGGATGATCACTTTACCTACCTAATAAAATGGCTTTGAGAATTAAATGAGTTCATATGAGTAAAGGTACTAGCATATAAGAAGCACTGTTTAAGCAATAGTAAATATTCAATAATAATAATTCAACACTAGCTATGATCATCATATCATCAGATACTATGATGCAATATTTAATCTTTGAACTCCCCACACACAACTAGAAGTGATACTCAGGCCGACTCTGAGAGGAAGATGCCTACTCTCCCCAGCAGCTGCTACCTGGGCAGTGGGTATACCTGAGTGATCACCAGGGGGTCATCCTTCAAGACGGGGTCCTTCAACAACACCTGAGCAAACATGTCTGCTCCTTCGCCCCCCAGACCACTGGCAAAAGCAGTCATGGTAGGCAAGACGGCTTCAGACAGGTCCAGCCACTTCACCAGGCCAGCCACAAAGTCCGTGCAGAAGGACCTGAAAGACAAACCCAGCTGAGATCCTGGACCATGCAACTCACAAGATGAGACATGTGAAGGGACGTGAAGAGCTGGCATCTATAAAAACCATGGCAACTGTGGCCTATGGAATATAGGGAGAGCCAAACCCAATTTCAGGAGAGTGGATCTGAGCTTACTCCACCAACACTTTGACCACAGGAGCTGATAAACACTTTGACCACAGGAATGAGGGCAATGAGCAGTTAGTTACCAACCAAACACCCTGAGCCCAGCCTGCCCTGAGGGCTGTGAAATCAAAAATGAGCAAGATGGGTCTTGGATGAGAAGCTCATAGAGGGGTAGAGACCCAGATGGAACTAACTGATCTAGCACCATGGGACATGCTAGGACAGAGGCAGGAATCCAGCCCTGATGAGTCCAGAGAGGGGGCCCTGAATCCACCTGGGAGGTGAGGGGCAGCGACCAGAAAAGGCTTCCTGCAGATGGAGACCTCCTGCTGTTGGAAACGGCCACGGACAGGCTTTCTAGGAACAGGTCGGCTGCCACAGAAGTGGACAAAGTGCGGAGTAAGTCTGTCCTCCCACTGTGCCCACCACCACCGTGGGGTCTCTGTCCATAGTGAGTATTTCAGCTGAGTCCCATGGGATCCCTGAGTGGGGGATGGATGGGGTACTCCAGGGCAGAAGGGACCCCAGGAGATGCAGGAAGCCCATGGCATCTTGGGGGGACTTCCCTGGTGGTTCAGACAGTAAAGAATCTGCTTGCAATGCAGGAGACCCAGGTTTGATCCCTGGGTAGGGAAGATCCCCTGGAGAAGGGAATGGCTACCCACTCCGTATTCTTGCCTGGAGAATCCCATGGACAGAGGAGCCTGGTGGGCTACAGTCCATGAGTCTCAAAGTGTCAGACATGACTGAGTGACTAACACTTGTTCACTTTCGTGGCATCTTGGGGACCCTGGCAGAGCCCACATCAGGCTTTGATTCCAAGCTACCACTGGGATGTGGAGCAGGAGAATCAGACAGGAGGTGATTAGAGAAGTTCTGAGAAAAGGTTTACCAGAAACAAGCTGAGTTCCCTGGTCGTGGGGGTGACCTGAGGAGGCTCCCCACTGGCCCCGCTTGGCTCTGGTCTCCATGGATCCCAGGCAGCGCACCCAGCCCGTTCCTCAGAGCCGCTGCTGCCGAAGCCCGAGCAGAGAGATCTCTGCAGGGTGGGCCATGTGGGTGGGTGCGGGACTCAGGTGCAAATCCCGGGAACACCACCGTTTTGGTCCAGCTCCCCAGGAAGTAGCTCTGAAATGATTACTGGGGATTCCCTGGGGTCAACACCTGTGGATGGGCAGGGAGGATGAACTCGGAGGGCAGGAGGGAGCTGAGATCCAGTTTCAACAGAAGTCTCAGCTGACCCTGTGGGGAGATCTGAAGATTGGGTGACCCCTGAGAGCTGCCCCCAGTGGGGCGAGAGGGCTGGGCCTTCACACCCTCACGTCAGACAGTCATCAGACAACAGCTGCCCCAGGAAGCAGGCAGAACCCTGGGCAGGGCGGCTCTCTGCAGCTGAGGCAGGCCCAGGCCACGCGGGCAGCCCCTGCAGCGGCCGGGGGAAATGTCCCTCACTGCTGAGCGAGGCTGTGAAAGGAACTTGGCCTCTCTGTGCCTCGGTTTCCGTATCTGCAAAGGGGTGTAACAGACCAACTTCATAAAACTGCTTGAGGATTAAATGAGAAGCTACATATAAAGCACCCCAAGCAAGGCCTGGCATGCAGTAGATAATTAACGTTGGTCAGCATCACTATTTTATTTAAAATTAAAGGAAAAAAAATGTATTTATTCATTTGGCTGCACCGGGTCTTAGTTGCAGCGTGTGGGATCTGATTCCCTGACCAGGGGTTGAACCTGATCCCCCTGCATTGGAAGCGCAGAGTCTAAGCCACTAGACCACCAGGGAAGTCCCAGCATCACTATTTCATTTACAAGGTGACCAAGGCAGGCAGTGAAGAGGGCTGAGCTGGGCTCTGAAATCCGACCCCGGGGAGAGCCCGGCTCCCTGGGCGACCGGCTTCACGGCCTCCTTCACCCCTCCCAGCTTCGTCTTCCTCGTTGTAAAGTGAGGATGATGACAGGGCTGCTTCAGAGACTGGCCGGAAAGATTAAATCACAAGATAAAAGCACCTGGCACACGATAACCCTCAATAAATGTCAGCTACTGCTATTACAATCATTATGATTTACCCCGCTGGAATTACTGGAATTACCCTGGGGTGATGTGTGGGTGTGAATGGGGGGGCAGGGATGACTAAGTGAATCAAGTATTATTTATGCATCAACATGTATGCAGAAAGGGTTTGGGGCTGAGGGCAGTGGCGTGGCCTGGCCCTATGTCCATGGAGAAAGTCTGGGATGTAGAGAAGAATCTCATCACAAGAGTGGAAGGGTAAAGAGCATGAACTCTGATTCAAATCCAGCTTTGCCATGAGCTGTGTGATCTTGGGCAAGTTACTTAGCCTCTCTGTGCCTTGGAAACACTGGCGAGAAGGATGAAGCCTATTTCATAGGGTTATTGAAAGGATTAGCTAAGTTAATAGGTGTCATGCGCTTAGAAAAAAACTGGCACACGTAAAGCCCTATGTAGGTGTTTCTTTGGATAAACAAATGAATGAGAATACATGTAAAGTGCCAGTGTAGCAATCTATTAAATAGGGAAATAGCACTGCTGAGCCACCAGGCAAGCCCTGTAGAGTGGCAGGGTCTCGGTAAATGCCTCTCATGTGGCTGGTGACGAATACTGGGGTGGGCAGTCATTCCCTTCTCCAGAGGATCTTTCCGACCCAGGGATTGAACTCGGTCTCCTGCGTTGCAGGCAGACTCTTCACCATCTGAGCCACCAGGGAAGCCCCAGTCAGAACATAACAAAAACAATCAATGGCTATAATATAATTCATGGCGATCGCAGAGCAACTATCCGCCAGCCCCTGTACCTGGTGCTCCATACACACGGGCTCGCTGACTTCCGGATACAGCCCCACAAGGGCGGGAAGCACTATTTTTACCTCCATTCGAGAAACAAGGACGATACTCAGAGCCACAGAGGTTAAGTGACAGCTCCAGGGTTCAGGCCCCCAAGTCTCGGACTCCAGAGGCCATGCTGAACCACTGCACAGACCGCCCCCTCCCCAAGTGCGTTTCGGGCCTTAAGACGACCGAGATCAACCGTGTGGAAAGATGCTGCAGCACAGCGACCCACCCCAGTATCCTTGCCTGGAGGATCCCATGGACAGAGGAGCCTGGCGGGCCACACAGGACCACAGAGTCGGACAGGACTGAAGCGACTTAACGTGCACACGCGCTCAACTTTCAGGAAGGAAACACCCCCAAGGCAAATGCTTCTGGCTCAGCCACAGACACGTGTGCTTAAAACCAGACTTAGATTTGGGGGGGCGGTGGGCACACAGAACAATACCTTCTCCCTGCGCCCTCCCTGGTGTTGCCCAGCACAGGTCTGGCACACAGTTCAGGTTCGTAAGTATTTCTTTATGTGAACAAAGTATGTAAAGCTCTTCCCCGGAGTATCTACCGGCTCATCAGGTAGGGATTTGTCAGATCAGGGGAGCTTCTGGGAAGATAAGAGCTTCCTAAGTAGGGCACAGGTATGGACTGGAGCAGGAAGAGAGGTGGATCCTTGGAGGAGTTGGACCCTTGCTTGCTCGGGAACAGAATACGAACGAGATACATTCTAACCTCCAGAAAGAAAGAAGGAAGGAAAGAAAGAAACAAACCCGGACTGCCCTTGTGGCTCAGACATGAAGTGTCTGCTTACAACGCCGGAGACCTGGGTTCAATCCCTGGGTTGGGAAGACCTGCTGAAGAAGGAAATGGCAACCCACTCCAGTACTCTGGCCTGGAAAATCAAATGGATGGAAGAACCTCACAGGCTACAGTCCATGGGGTCGCAGAGAGTTGGACACGACTGAGCGACTTCACTTTCTTTACTTTCTGTGCTAGGCTCTGCAGGGGCCATCCACACATGCCTTCCCCAGGACCACCCTCTCTGATGGACAGCTGCTTCTCAGCAGCAGTGATTCCCCAGTCCCTTCTTCTGGGCTGGCAGAAGCCCCCTCCCATGATGGAGACACAGAATGACAAGTAGTTTTTCTGTGCCTCCCTTGCAGGCAAGGCTAGCGTATCTGACTGTCTCTAACCAATGACATAAAGGGGGAAGCCTTCGCAGGGTATCCTGGGAAAGAGCTCCGCCCGTGAGAGAGACTTGCAGAGCATCTTTGTCCTCCACTTTCTTGCCTGAGTCTTATTCTGGAGGGTGTGCTGTACAGCACTGCAGCAGCCGTTCTGTGGTCAGGAGAGGGAGGCCAGGAGAACTGCAGAGAAGCCGGCCCAAAGGCTGTTTGAGGGGCTGCAGCAACCCTGCAACTCTCTTCCTTCTGGTTTCTTATCAAGTGGGAGTTCTCTCTGATTATTTAACCTCTTTCAGTACAGTGTCCTGTTGCTTACAGCCCAAAGCTCCCTGACTGCTAGGGGTAAGTTCCAGTTCATTTTATAGACAAGGAAACTGACCAAATAAAGTAAGTCATGGAGTTAGTAAGCACTAACATTTATTGATTGCCTACTGTGGGCCAAACACTGTGCTACATGCTTTACCTACATTATCTCATTTGATTCTGGTAACTACCCTGCAGGGTGGGCATTATTAGCCCCCTTTTACAGATGAAGACACTGATGCTTCAGTTCAGTTCAGTTCAGTCGCTCAGTCGTGTCCGACTCTTTGCGACCCCATGAATCGCAGCATGCCAGGCCTCCCTGTTCATCACAAACTCCCGGAGTTTTACTCAAACTCATGCCCATCAAGTCGGTGATGCCATCCAGCCATCTCATCCTCTGTCGTCCCCTTCTCCTCCTGCCCCCAATCCCTCCCAGCATCAGGGTCTTTTCCAATGAGTCAACTCTTC